AAAGTGCTAGGATTACAGGCGTGAGCCACCATGCCTGACCTATGATGCAATCCCAGTCTTTCATCTTTGCCCAGGAGTTGACCCAGGTGACCTTTAAGGCCCCATTCTAGCCCAAACTTGATCATAACTCTGAGTTCCCTTCTTGCCAAGGAGAGGTGTGGCCAGAACCACAGAAAGCAGAGCCAGTGTGGCTGTCACCGAGGCCTTTATAGCTGGGAGGGGATGTTGCCCTTCCCAGCCTTGAAGATCCTCAGTGAGGACCTGAGATGGAGGCCTGGTGTCCTCCCCATTTGGTGCCCACAGCGGAGATTGCGAGGTGGTTGGCAGGGATCAGCCAGGATGTGTCCCCCGTATCTGTGGTCAAGGTCAGTCAAGGATTCAGCGGATGGCTGTGGGATCTGCTCTCCAGTCGCTGGGGTGGCACAGGAAGCTGGGCTGGGCGAGGTCCCTGGCTCTGGGGGGCTTTCCTACCACTTCCCTGACTTGGCCCTTGGGGAGCTTCTTGGATAAGCCCTTTTTCTTGCTTTGTAGGTTGGAGTAACCAGGCCCTCCCAGGGGCTTCCTTAGATGGCCTGAGGAGAGGCCACCCCTCTTCCTCTCAGGCTTCCTCCCTCCCAAGATCTAGCAGGTGTCTCTTCTTGGACACGCAGCACGGCCCACCAGAGAGCCCACAGTCTCAGCTGAATTCTCCAGGAGGACAGCACAGTTTCGCTCCCTTCGCTGCCTCACTCCCCACCTGCCTGCCCACCAGGTGGTTGGGCTGCTGCCGGCCCCTGGAAGCCAGGCGGTGCCCTTGTGCCCTGATGCCAGTCCTTGCAATTACAGGTTGGCAGGCCCAGAAGCAAAGTGTGCCAGCCAGCGCGGCAGCTTGCTGGCGGCCAGTCTGTGTCCTGGGGCCTGTGTCCTGACTGCTCAGCCATGCCGGGCGGGGAGTTGGTCTGTGAAGGAGGAGGAGTGGGTCTCAGCTCTGCCCCAGGCACTGCAGGCCCATGGGGGACGTTTGCCTTCTCCCTTCTTGGTGGGGCCGAGAATCCATTCTTTGCTGCGCAGAGATCAGTTACTGCCCAGCTGGGAACTGAGATGGACCAAGGTTGAAGATACTACTCCTCCCATCACACAGGTGACCCCCCCTGCTCCCTCCCCATGCCCACGTGTGTGCAGGTGTACACAGGAGAGGTGTGTGCCTGTAGAGTATGAGTGTGTGCATGCTCACGTGTATGTGTGTGCACAAGTGTGAGAGCACAGGCATGTTTGTGTACATAACTTGCTATGCCTATTATAAGACCACAACTATGCACGAGTACGTGCTGGGCTGCTATTCAGCAACTACACCCCAGCAGGCCTGTGCCAGTCACTTACAGCCATGGTTGGTTTGGTTGGTGCCCTTGCCACACATGTTTTGATATTTTTTTTAAGCGGGGGGAGTGAGGAGGAGGGTTCAGTTTCTTTTTTTTGTTGTTGACAGAGTCTCACTCTGTCACCCTGGTTAGAGTGCAGTGGCATCATGACAGCTCACTGCAACCTCTAACTCCTGGGCTCAAGCGATCCTCCTGCCTCAGCCACCCAAGTAGCTGGGTCTACAGATGTGTGTCACCACGCCTGGCTAATTTTTTCCATTTTTAGTACAGACAGGGTCTTGTTCTTGCTCAGGCTGGTCTTGAACTCTTGAGCTGAAGCAGTACTCCTGCCTCGGCCTCCCAGAGTGCTAGGATTGCCGGCGTGAGCACTGGGCCATGTTTTGGTATTTTGAATGGCATTTATCTGTACTTGTGGTTACCTGCATTTATATGTACTTGTGGTTTGAGTGTTTGTGTGTGTGCCAAATTATGCGTGTCCATGTAAGTGTGCACATGTGTGAGTGTGCCGTGTGTTGAAGCTCATGTGCATGAGGCCTTGAGTACGCACATGTCAGCGCATGCTCGTGTGGTTGCATGTTTATGTGAGCACATGTCCGTGTGTGACAGTGTGAGCACGGGTGTGTGTCTGTGTACGCCTCACTGGCCAGGGGTGACCAAGGCCAAGGACATTCATCATCCCTGCCCCAGCTGGAGGGGGAAATCCTCTTGGTCTGAAAAGGCAAAGGCCAGGGCTGAGAGGCTCCATGTCTCTCAGGCTCCGGGCTGCGTTCCCAGGCCCTGTGGCCCGAGGAGCTACGTCAGGGTGCAGAACAGCATGCACGGGCCCTGAGGACACATGGCCAGAGTCAGATCTTCCTTTTGGAAGTCCCCTCCAGGGCTGGTGTCGGGAGGATGGCGGGGGCCTGGGAAACCTGGGAGGAGGCACGAGAGGGGAGGCCTGGGCCAGGCCAGCAGCAGAGGGCTGAGGAGGAGGCAGATTTGAGGGACACTTAGGACGCAGAATGGACAGGACCAGTGACTGGAGGGGTGTGAGGGTGAGCAAGGCAGGTGGGACCCCCTACCCCGGGCATCTGGCATGGGTGACGGGGGCAAGGAGCTGAGAGAGCAGCAGCTCCGGCAGCTTGTCCGGCCACACAGGGCAGGAACAGCGGTGTGGGGACATGGGGGGAGGATGAGTTTGGTCAGCTGGTCAGTGTGAAGTACCCGTGGGCATCCAAGAGAGGTGTCCAGGAGGGGCCTGGGGCTGCAGGGATGAGACGCCCATGTAGGAGTAGCTTGGAGCAGTCAGCCACGGTCTGCAAACTAGGGCCCCTTCGCCTGTGTTTGTTTCACTTTGTAACTGTGGAGCCCAAGCCCGCATTGGTCATGGAAGCCACTGAACCCCAGGACGCAGCTGGCGCCGGCCTGTGCGTGGTGCTGGAGGAGCCCGGCGGAGCATCTGGGCCACCCCAGCGTTGTACAGTTGAGGAAGCCAAGGCCCCGAGGTGGTGGCCTGCCCAGGGTCACCAGGCAGGGTGGGGCCGGGCCCCTGTACCCGGGAGGTCACGCCCCTTTGCTGCAGAGCCGCTCCTTGAGCTGAGACGCCCAGGCTGCTGCCTCAGGAGACTCTGTAATTACGGGATTAGAAGGCGGCCTCTCCCCAGCCGGGCCCTTTGCCCCTCAAAGCCGCCAAGCGGAGATGAGGATTTGCTGGCGCAGTGCCGGTTTCCAGGTGTGTCTGAGGAAACCTGGCATCCTCGGTGGCGTGTTCAGCCTGAAAGGCCCCATTGTGGCCGTAGCCTCCCTCTGACGGGCTCTACTTTGGGTTGGGGATCCACCCTGCTCCAGCTGGAGGAAGGAAAAGGTGTATTTCAGTATGTCCTGAGGGCGTGGGGCAGCAGGGGAGAGGTGAAACGGGAGGCCACATGGCTTGGGGGGTGCCTGTACTGCGTGCAGGGAGGGGACACAGGGACAAGCTGCAGGTGCGAGGAGAGGAGAAGACTTTGTACAGGTGCAGGTGGCCCAGAAGAAGTCGCAGGGGAGGGTGGGTATGAGTCGGGCAGGGCTTTCATGTGGCCCCAGGAGGCCGGCTGGCAGACCCTGTTAAGCTGGAATGCAGGTCTGGGGCCTGCCCGGTCCCAGCAACTTCCCGATTCCCACCCCTGTGGGTGCCAGTCCCGCGTAGTAGGCCTGAGGGAGACCCACCCTGCCCTCAAGGGCCTCCCAGTTCAGTGCCAGGGGCCAGGGGCTGCAGCCACAGAAGTTCGGCCAGACCGAGAGAACACACAAGCGGCTTGGCCCCCGTGGCCTGTCCGGCCCTCCCTGCACCAGAGCCGGGCCGTGTTCCTGCCCCACCCGGCGTGTGGGCACATTCCAGCCTCTTGCCTCTCTTCATGTGGGTCCTCGGCCTGGCCTTGCCTTGTGGTTCTTCCGGGCCATCCCGATCCCGACCATCCTTCGGGGCTGTGCCCAGCGCGACCTTACCCCGGGGGGCCCCTGCCCATCCCGGCTTTCCTCTGATTCCCCAGTGCCGGCGTCACCAGGTGCTGTGGCTGCTGGGGGCTCTCGGAGCCTTCCCCACAATGGCTTCTTCCCCCTCACCTTGCACAGGCCGCTGGGGTGAGGGCTCACCAGGAAGTGGCTCGACGTGTCTCCTTGGGCCTGAGCTTCCCCATCTGTGAGATGGGTGTAATGACATCTGCCGTATCATGTCACCTGACCCGCGGGGTAATGAGAGTGGACACACTTGGTGCATACACAGCAGGTGTCCAGGCAGCGGTCCTTCGGTCCCTCTGCCCCGGGGCTTGCAGGCCTCTGAGCATCAGGCCTGTGGGCGCCCCAGGCATAGCCCCGTGATTGCAGGAATGACTAATTCCACCCCGGCAATAAGCTCTTGGAAGCTCTGAAAAATGAGACTTTCTTTTCTCTTTCTTCTTGCTGCTTCATTAAACTCTTCATGAGTGAGGGGAATGGAGATTGTCCTAATCCCTTGGCACGAGGTGGGGAGGTTCGGGGCCTGTGGCCACCAGGGGCTGTTGGGAGCAGGGCAGGGGGCGGGTGCTGGACAGGGGCCGGAAGCCTCGTGTTCTGGGCTGGCTTTGCCCTAGGCCAGCTGCTGACCTCAGACAAGCCCCGGCCTTGGCTGGGCTCAGTTTCACTGTCTGAACAATGGGTGTTCAAGGCCTTGCTCACTGCCCCACGCTGCTCTAGGGGTCTGGGGTGGGGACACTCTGGGAGGGGCCATTGGTGGGGTGCCCGGGTCTGGCAGGCTGGCTGGCACACAGTAGGTGCCTTATCAGGGTATGCAGGCCCGAGAAGACAGAAGGGGTGGGCGAGCTCCGAGTAGCCCTCTGGCCTTTGTCTTCTCAGAGTCTGTTTCCTCACCTTTAAAAGTGGCCTGGGAGCCCTGGCTTCCTCCTTCCAGGCCCCAGCGGGTGACTCCGGGGGCTGAGTGCCCACCTCTGGGGCATGGCTGCTGGCCTGGCCCAGCTGGTACTGTGTACCCACCTTTGAGGCTGCCGGAGGTGGAGAAACAGTTTCAGGCCTTGCTCACCCCAGTAAGTGTGGCGATGCCTTCCTCCCCGGAGCCTGTCTGTCCTGTCCCCAGCTGGGAAGAGACAGTGAGGTCTGAGGAGCCTCACTCAGACTGCCCTCTGTCCATAGGTGTTCCTGGCCCTTGGGGAGCTGCTCCTGTCCTGCAACTGGGCAGTGGTTGCTGACATCCTGCTGGTAGGTGTGGGAGTCGGGGTGGGGGGCTGGTCCTGGGGGCAGCTAGAGTCCGTCCAGCTCAGGATTGGACCTCTGCTGCCGAGCAGCTTGGGGGCTGGGGGGCTTCAAAGGCCATTTGGTAGAGGACCAAGGCCACTGAACAGTCACCTTGGACCAGAGGCCTCCTTGAGACTCTCAAACATCCCTTCTGACCATCATGCCCATTTTGCAGATGAGCAAATGGAGGCTCAGAGAAGGCAGGTACCTGGGCCAAGGTTGCACAGCACCAAGACACTGAGCCAGGACTGGAGCCTGGGCTTTGTGACTCCCAGGGCTCCTTCCCCCCCTCTCTCTTTGCCACTCTGCTTCTCAGCAAAGGCTCCATGGCCCCCACGCTGGGTGTGCACTTGGGGATGCTGGACTTCGGGGCAGTGGCCACTGAGGACAGTTGGGTCCGGCCCACCACAGCATGAGCTGCCATGCAACGGGCCAGCTCGGCCTGTAGTGAGACCAGACGCTGTCCTGACCACATGACTTCACTGTGCCCAGAGTCCAGCATGGCCCTCCATGAGCCTCACACTCTTCGTCCAGCCTCCCTGCCCCCTTCTGGGAGACACACAGGGAAGGACTCTGAACACTGTGAGGGGCTGTGCCCTTGCAGGTGACACACGGTCCCAGGCCTAGGTGCACCCTGAGAGCCCTCCTGCTACCTCCTGGCAGCCTGGCACAGTCCAGTGGTGGGCACAAGGGAACCAGAGCAGCCTGGCAATGGGCCGGGAGCTGTCCCGAGGGCAGTTTAGTGCGGGGGCATGATCCTGGAATCAGGAAACAGACCTGGCTTTCAGCCCTGGTCCTGCCACTTACAAGCTGTGTGACCTTAGGCAAGTCACTGTGTGTCTCTGGGCCTCAGTTTCCCTGTGTGGAAAATGGGGGTGACAATAGTACCTATTTCATGGATTGTTGTGAAGGGAAATGAGATTATTCATGTGAAGCTTTGGCCAGAGCCTGGCACAGAGAATGGTGGCGAGGATTCTCAGTGACTCAGTGTCCCACCTTCTCATCTTCTAGCCCCCAAAGAAATCCTGGTGTCCCAGCATCTGAGTTTGAAGGGGCTATGGGGATGTGTAGCCAATTAGTCAACAAGGCTTGCTTGAATACTACTGTTGACAGGATGCTCACTCCCTGTCGGTATGTCTGTCCCTCCCCGTGGCCCACGCTCAGGGAGCGTGGAGAGGGCGGCCCTGGCTTTGGCTCCTGGATGAGAGTGTCAGCTGCGGGGCTGGCAGGCCTCTGCCCCTCCCTTCAGACAGGAGACTTGGGCTGCAGCCCACACAGCCACGGAGCTGCCGAATGGCCTTGGGCCTCAGTTTCCTCGTCTATAAAAAGGTGTAGTCACGACCTGCCGGGTGGGGCGAGGGAGGCAGCCTGCGGGAAAGCCCTCAGCAAACGGGAGAGCACGGGCACGTGTTTCCCCTTGTGGGACTGTCCACCTTCAGGTGCAGGCAGATTAACACGCCCTCGACATAGCTCGTTCTCTCTCAGGCGGTTCAAGGGAGCTGAACCTGCCCCCCGCAGCATCCTCCGCCTGCCCCCTGCTGCGAGGCTCCCTTTTCCACATGACAGCCCCGCAGAAATGTGAAGACTGCGCCTGTGTCCCCCCAGTGTCTATGTCTGCAAGAATGATTAACCTGGCAGAGCCAGGCTCTCTGTGGAACTAAGAGGAGGGGTGGGAGGGAGAGTGGAGGGGAGGGGTTAGGGGCCAGCCAGCTGTACAGCTTCACCCGTCTGGGGAGCCGGCTGGATCCAGCCCACCCCAGGGCTCCCTGTGGCCCTTTTCTGGATTGCCGACCTCCAGCCCCCAAAGCTGAGCAAGGCCCACTACCCCAGCTAGGCCTCTTGCCCCCCACTCCCTGCCATCCTGGAGCCCCTTGGCCAAAGCTTGGCTTTCTGCACTTTGGTGGTCGGAGCTAGACCAGTGCTTGCAGCCCTTGGAGTTCAGTTCCCGCAGGTTGCTGTTTCCCGGGCAGAGGCAGGTGGCGGGGACCCCTTCTGTGCAGAGGAGGGGCACAGGCCAGCTTGGAGCAGGGAGAGGGGGCAGTGGGAGAGGAAGGAGGACCTAGAGTGGGGACAGCTCCCTCAAGGAGCTGTGTTGACAAGAGAGGAGAAGATGGCGGTGGCAGTTGACAGAAGGTTAGGGGAAGTTGGTGATGCTGTTGAAGAGGTGGGGCCAGGCAGCCTCCAGGGGACGGAGAGGGGAGAATGATGGAGCGAGGGGTCCCCTGGGGGTGGTGAGCAGGGGGTGGGATCCAGGGCTGTGGGAGGAAGTAGCCTGGGTGCAAGGCAGGGGCAGGAAGTGTGTGGGGACAGGGGTGTGCCACAGGAAGGTCCCCTTTGCTGGTCTGCACTTGCTCTTGAGGCAGGCGATTAGCTTCTCTTTGGGCAGGGGCCCGAGGGTGTGGGGAGGCCTGGGGGTGTGTGTGCAGGGAGCTAAGGAGAGGGGGACGGTGAGGCGAACAGCTCTGGGCTGCAAAGGAAGCCAAGAGGGGCTAACAGGAAAACAGGTGTGGAGACCGCAGGTCTCTGGGAGGTCAGAGCCTGTGGGTGGGTCAGAGTGGAGGGGACAGCAGAGCCCAGGTGTGAGTCTCTGCAACAGGCCATCTGCTTCCACTCCCAGCCTGGCCACTAACTAGCTGTGTGACCCTGGCTAGGTGAGTGAACATCTCTGGGCCTTGGTTTTTCCGGTTGCACAATAGGAAGAGTGGTAATCTACCAGTTACGCCCAGGCTTTAAGGATGAAATGAGCTAACACCTGCATCATGCGTATTCCTGAGTGGGGGATGTGGGGGGCCCCTCCCCGGCCCCCAGATCAGTCCTGCCACAGGATACTGCTCCTCTGATGCCTCATCCACAAGGGGAGAATCCAGATTCTCTCTGGACAAGGGACTTCAGGTGCTCTCTGGTCCAGTGGCTCCCAAACTTCACTGTGCATAGGAATCAGGTCTGGGGGAGCGTGTTACAAGTCAGATTCCAGGCCCTCCGTCCCAGAGTCCGGTTCAGTGGGTCTGTGCTGGGCTCCAGGGATCTGCACTTCTAATGAACTTCCCAGGCGATCCTGCTCGGTGTTCCTTGGAGCACGCACTGGTCTAGCACAGCCAGGCCCCCAGTCCGTGAATCCTTTGAAGAATTCTGACCACCCCTTGTTCACACACCCCTCTGGTGGGAGCTCACTCCTGGCACCCCGGGCAGCCCCCTCTGTTGATGACGATGATGTGGCTCAGTCACACAGCCAAGCCTCACCTCTGGCAGCCTCCCCCTGGGACAGCTGGGCCTGGGAGGGTCCAGCTCTCTGTAAGCCTGCGCTCCCTCCCTCCCCAAACCTGCTCCTGGGGTCTGCAGCTTCCTGCCAGCCCTGCTGCCTGTCCGGGCCCCACCCAGGGTGGCCCATAGCCAGCTCACCCCACCCCCCAGCATGGGGGCGGAGCCGAGGGGAGTCCACACTCTCTTTCTCAGGCCCCTCCTCTGGGGTTCTGGAATCCAGCCAGCAGGCCCTCACCCACCTCCTCAGCAGATTTCCCCAAACTCCCCTGGAGGCTTGTTCCCTCCCTGTTCTCCCTCTGCTCAGCCTCTGCCCCCCAGGTAGCCACCTGCTCGCTTGTCTGTCTCGCCCTGCTGGGGGTCTGGGTGCAAGGGCTGAGTGGGGAGCGCAGGAGGCAGGCAGCCCCGGAGTCTGCACCTCGTGGCTGCTGCTCCAACTTTCTGCAAGCCCTTGGCTGGCGCCAGTTTTGCCCGGGGATATAAAGGGAATAGCTCTTCTAGGAAGGGAGAGCCAAAAACAGAGGTGTTTTTGTCTCAGAATAGAATAAGCCTGGATTTTTGGGAACCCAAAAGCCTCTTATTTCTAAAATTACCCCCTGGGCTCTCCAGCTGCTGCTCGGCCCCCTGGCTGTATGCGGACAATGGGGACCCAGGACAGGCTGGGGGAGACCCACCTCTCCTGCCACTGGCAGGAGCAGCTGGTCTGGGCCCAGCAGGTTGGGGTTCCCAAGAGGGGAGGAGGGGGCTAGCCTGCCTGGACCTTTTTCTGGGGGTCCAAGCAGCCCCAGCTTCTGTGTGCATCTTTTTGGACATTCAGGGCCCTCCCTCCAGGAAGCCCTACCTGTCTCCCCAGAGCCACCGGTGAGTAATCACATAATTATGGGGTGAGAAGGAAGTCTCTGGAAGGTGCAAAGCTGTGGTCAGCTCCTCCTCAGGGCTGTTGGCAGGTCCCAGGGGTGGGCAAGAGGCCCAGCTTCCCTCAACGCCTGGACAGGGTGGCTCAGCACCAGTGACCTCAGGACCAGCTGGTCACCCACAGTGACTCCTGCCACTCTGCACTGCCAGGCACAAGGCGTCCTCTCTCCAGACCCCCTGCGCCTGGTGTTCTGGAATCCAGAGGTCACGTCCCTGGCTCCTGCCTCTACACCTTTGCTTGCACAGCCCCAGCCTCTCTGCCAGCTGCTGATTACTCTTCCACCCATTTGCAGAGCTAGCAACGAACTTGTCCTCTTTACCTTTCTCTCCATTTTCTAAATGCCCCGTTACAAACACATAAATATCGCTGGAAACACCAGCTCCTCCTTGCCCATAACAGCAGAGCGGTCAAAAGGCCATGCCCTGGAGGGAGAAGGCCTGGGACCCCATCTCAGCCCTGCTATTTCCTGGCCCGGTGACCACCCTGTGCAAGTCCCTTACCACCACACTCCCCACCCGCCCTGTGGAGGTTTTTCTCATCTGTGAAATGCAGGTGACAATATTTCCCTCATGGGTTGTTCAAGTCGATATATGAAATTCATACGGAAGTGTTCAATAAACGTTGGCAATTATTATCATTATTGATTATTGTTAGCTCAGATCACGGGCGCCTAGGTCTTGGGGAGGAGGCTCCAGGGTGGGAGGCTCCGCTGCGGCTGCCCTGTTGGGACGGTGTGGCCACATGGTCTCCGCTCAAACCCCCCCTCCTGCCTCCCTCCCCTCCCCTGCTTTGGCCCTGGCTTGTGGCAGGGTTTCTCCTAGGACCAGCCTCCCAGATGGTTCTGCTCAACTTACTTGGTGTCCCCTCTGTGCTTTGTGTCTTGCTATGCCCCAGGGACCCCAAGAGAGATGAGACAGGGGCTTTGCTGCCCACACAGTGTAGGGAATAAGGGGAGGTAGGCAAAGAAAGGACCCCTCCTAGTCTGGGGGACATGCGTTCACTTAGGATGTACCTGGAGGCCGTGGGAGCTCAGGGCAGGTACTTGAACTCTGAGAGGGCTTCACAGAGGAGGTGGCCCAAAGGTAAGTCCTAAATGGCAAATAGAGTTGCTCCAGCTGGACCAGAGAGGGGAAAGCACGTCCGGCAGGAGGCACAGCGAGTTCAAGTGCATCAGTTGATGTTACTTCAGTCTGGTGTCCACAGGAAGCCTGCAGGTACCAGATGAGTGATGACAATGAACACAGCCCTCGAGGGAGGGATGTTAGTATCCCCATTTGGGGATGAGGAGACTGAGGCAGGAAAGGTGAAGCAACTTGCCCAGAGTCGCACAGCTGGTGGTGGGGGGATCTGCTTTGGATCCCAGACAGTCTGACTCCAAAGAATTCGTGTTCTTAACCTCCTCGGCCTCTTCCCCGGAGTCTTGGAGGCCTCTCCAGCGAGGCTGCCGTTGGTCTCTGCCCAGTGGGGCCCGGTGTTCCTGAGAGAAGGACTGAGCCCTCTGTGCCGCCCCTGCCCAAGAGCTCGCACATGCAGCCACCTGCTGTGCACCCCTCCTCACCCCGCCTGCCTGCGCTGCTGCCCCCTGGGCCCCTGAGCTGGCCACTCGCTGTTGTCACAGCCATGCCCCATCCCTTCCCAGTTCAACGGCAAACTCTCCAGATCAGGGGCCTTGGCACCCCAATCTTGGGGCCCCGGGGAACTTCATGAGCCTCAGATGGGCCTGATGTTCTGGGAGGGGCTTCAGGCCTTGGGGGTTGTTGACTCCCTCCCATCACACTCACCCGGGCCAGCCTGTCACACCTCCAGGCAGGCCCTCGGCGGGCGGGGAGCAGGAGACGGGTATCCCTCGCTTGGGGTGCTCCCCTGGTGCTCCTGTGTTTTGCAGTCCGTGGTGGTGCCCAGGTGCCGGGGGACAGCAGAGGCGCTTCAGATCACAGTGGGTCACCTACTGGGAGACGCCAGCAGCCCCTATCTCATAGGACTTGTAAGGCGTGTCTGATCGTGTGGGGTGGGGGGGTCTGGGGGAGGCGCTGCACTCGCTAAGGCCTGGGGGCTGGCCTGGCAGGCCTGGCAGACCCCCACCTCCCCCGCAGATCTCCAGTGCCCTGCGGGCTGGGCGCCCTGACTCCTACCTGCAGCGCTTTCTCAGCCTGCAGCAGAGCTTCCTGAGCTGCGTCTTCGTCATCGCCCTGGGCGGCAGCTGCTTCCTGCTGACGGCACTGTTCCTGGACAGAGACCAGGTCCAGGCCTGGCATCCTGGCACAGGTACCCCCACCCCTTGCATTAGGCCACATCCAAGCCCTTATGGAAACTGACACTCTGGTGAGCGGAGACAAAACAGAGACAGAAAAAGTGAAAGATACAGCATGTTTGAGGTGATGAGCACCATGGACAGACATAAAGCAGGAAGGAGGGGAGAGAAGCACAGGTAGGGCAGGTCGCAGTTTTCAATAGGGTGGTCAGGGAGAGCCCCACTGCACAGGTGCCACTGGGGCAAAGATCCGGAGGAAGTGAGGAGTGAGCCATGCAGCTGTCTGGGAGAAGGTGCTCCCGGCAGTGGGAATAGCCAGTGCAAAGGCCCTGTGGTGCGAATGTATCTGATGTGTCTGAGGACTGGCAAGGCGGCCAGTGTGGCTGGAGCAGGAATGAGGGGGACAGTGATAGGGATGAGGGCAACAATAACAGGGCCAGAGCGTGAGGGTCCGGGGGGTCCTTGCAGGGACTGGGATGAGATGGGGGATGCTTGGGGCTTCCAGCAGAGGAGCCCGAGGTAGTCTGCTTTCCATTGTCAAGGCACCACTCGGGCTGCCGTGCTGAGGACAGACTACAGGGGAGTCAGTGTTGAGGCAGAGAGGCCACAGGGGCAGGGAAGAGTGGTACTAAGACCATGGTGGTGACATTGAAGGTGGTGAGAAAAGGCTGGATCTGGAATTTGTTTTGCAAACGGAACCCAGAGGATTTCTTGGCAGACTGTGCCCGGGCCTGGTCCCAAAGCATCTTCTGACCCCTTTGGGGCTGGCCGAGCTTCTTTCCTCCTGCAGGGACCCCGGACAGCGAGGACCCGGAGAGCCAAGGCCTGCTTTCTGGCACGAGTACGCCTGCAGAGGACCCATGAAGCCCCTGCCCCACGCCGGTCCTACCCGTACCCCTCCTGTTGGCCCCCACAGTGGCAGCGTCTCTACCCCTCTTTGGCTGTGGCGCAGGGACCTGGCGGAGCTGCACCTGCCACTTCTTCATTCCCAGCTAGAGAGCTGGCAGGCCCTGGTGGCTGGGCTGGGAATTGAGCTGTCAGCACCCTCCATGGGAGGGCTGGGCCTGAGCCTGCACCCAGCACAAGGCCGTGGCAGCCTGGGGTCCTCAGCCTGGCTGCCCCTGGGCCCTAAATAAAGCAGGGCCAGTACAAAGCCCAAGGATTTCAGGCCTCAGACAACCCTGTTATTTATAGCATCTCTGTGCCTCTGCTGGGAGGAGGAGGAGGAGGAGAAGATGAGCTGGGCAGTCCAGGCTGAGGGTGCAGGGCTGCCCCTATGGTGCGGAAAATGAGGGGGTGGCCCAGCATGAGTCTCTAGGTGTCCCCACCCTGGACCTCCCACTGTGACCCAGTTTCTCTGTCTGCAAGGTCATGAGGGCACAGGACGCCCTCTGCATGAATTCACCCTCTGAACAAAAGGTGGGGGCAGAATTGGTGGTCTCCGAGATGGGTTTGCACCCGAGTGCTGGTGTGGGGATGTGGCTCCAAGTTCCGGGGGACCGCAGGAGGCGTGCCCAAGCCCACACAGACACAGGCACAGTGGCCGCAGAACCATGCTGAGGGGCTTTTGTGGTTGTGCATGCGGACTCCTGGCCTGCCCTATCCTGCACCCCCGGCCTGCCCCCGGCCCCACTCTGACCCCAGCACAGCCCGTAGGGAGGGCTGGCTCTGTGGGACCCACGCTTGCCACTGGGTTCAGAGCAGCTGGGCTCAGTGGGCCCTGCGGGAGATCAACAGCTTCCAGGCGGGCAGCGGTGGGGAGGCATGTTCTTTCTGCCCACGATTCTGAGCTCCCCTCCCTTCCCCTGGTGCCCAGCCAGGCGATCACTTGCTGATTGCCACCTTCGCCGTGCCAGGCTGTGCCTGTCTCCCAGCAGCTGCGGGCAGAGCAGCAACCCGGACGCCTGCACAGCCCCCCAACCCTCAGTGCTCTGTCTCTGCCTTCTGTGGTGTCCCCCCCGGCCCCCTGTTGACTGTGACAGGCCCTTGGAGCTAGACACCAGTGTCAGCCCACACCTGCCTCAGTGTCAGCCCTCCCTCGGGAGCTGGCATCAGAGGCTGACCAGCCCCTTGACCCATGACTTGATGCTTGGAGCTCACGAAACAGGCTGCCCTTGGGGTTACAAGGAGGAAGATCCGTGAGGGTATTTTGCTTTTCCTGAGAAGGAGGCAGCCAGTCTGGGCTGGAGCCAGGACGCCGCGATCCCTCTTGACATTTGCTGGCTGTGTGACCTGGTCACTCCCTGTCCCTCTCAGAGCTGCAGACTCCTGGCTACATTCGAGAGGTGTGCTGAATGCGGCTTTCTAGCCAGGCCCATGGGTTCTCACAGGCTGGGTCTAGACCCTCAGATGCCCAGCTCCAGGGTCTGAACCTTCCTCCCAGCAGCCCTAGCGGGGAGCTCTGCGAGGCTCAGCTCCCAGAAAATGGATGAGGGCTGCCCAAGAGTCAGAACACCAGCCACCCCGCCGCCCCCACAACCGGAGTCCAGTGGCTGCGGAGGAAGATCAGAAACCTCGTTCATGCCAATTCTACGAATATGTATCGGTATCAGCAGGTGCCCATCAGGGTGTCGCGCAGTGACTCCGACTCCAACCTTGTCTTTGGATCTCACAGCCGCGGCAGCGCAGGCCAAGTAAGGCCCACCTATGGGCAGAAGAAGGGATTCTGTCCCTTAGAAACCTTCCAGGAGCTGGCTTTGGGGCTGGTAGCTAGGTGTGGGGGAAGGGAGTTCTAGGTGTAGGGCGGTGGGGCAGGAGACATGTAATGAATCATGGAGGGGTGTGGTGTGGCCAGAGAGGAGGCTGAGCGTATTGTTGAGTGGGGAGAGGAGGCCAGAGAGACTGGCTAGAACCAGAAGGGCTTCAGATGCCAGCTGAGGAGCTGGGGCTCTGATCCTATAATCCGGGGTAGTTTCTTCTGACTCAAGTGCATTGTGGTGTTTGGGGTGCCAGGCAGGGCAAGGTGGTGCTCCCCAGGACTTAGCCACACAACATGCCCAGCCAGGAGTTTACAGGATGCTGTTGTCCAGAGTGGTTTGGGGCAGGGTGTGGCTCTGGGACTGGTGGGCCCTGGGAGTGCCAGAGATCAGTATGTCCTCTGCAGCCAGCCCAGACCCCAGCTTTACTCAGCTCCCCACTCCTGCCTCTTGGCAGCCAGTGGCGGTGGGCTGAGGTCACAGGTGTAGATCCGTGACAGCCCAGGAGAGCCCAGCACTCAGGCTAGAGTGGAGGAGTCCAGTAAATAGAACACGTCTTCCCAGCCTAAAGGGCCCTCGTTGGGTAATCCCAGTCACTAACATGGGGCTTGTTTGTTGGGAATGTCAACAGCAGAGAAAAAGCTGCTCATCAGGACAAGTCCTCAAACCTGACCCTGCTCTCTTTATGTGTTCATTACTCTTCCCAGATACAGGCTGCATTGCAGCTCCCAGGTATCATCCTGGCATGCAGGTGTGTGTGTGCGTGTGTGTGTGTGTGTGTGTGTACCTGCACGTGCTCATCTCTATGTTGGTGTGTGAGCATGTGGAGGTGTGTTTATAGGGTATTGACAGAATCTCTTTTTCCACTCTGACCTAAAGCTTGGGGGATTGAGCATACGTATCTAGATTCCCACGCCTCCGCCCTGGCTTGTTCCTGGCAACACCAGACATCGGTCTGTCTGTTTCATTCCCTGAAGTATCTGACTTTCCTCCATGCCTGGGAGGGCTTGTGAGGTTGTTTGATCTAATGTAGCCTCTAAAGACAGAACTGGCAGGAGGCAGGCAGAGGTGCCGGAGCCATGCTTTGTCTCAACATAGGGAGGGGTGTGCCTGCACGTACTCCTTCCTGTGAGTATACCAGTTTGGGTTGTGGGGTTGCATGCAACAGAAACGGGCTGACTACCTTAAGCGGGAAAGGGATTTATTGAAAGCATATCTGGAGCTCACAGAATTGATGAGAAGTTTGGAGATTCAGAAGCCAGGCTTCCTGGGCCATCCTATGTTGGGGTCTTTGCCAGAGCTTGAGACATTTTCTCCCTATTCTTTTGCCCAAGATTTAAAGCCCTGGGCAAGAGAGTCCAGTTGGGCTAGCTTAGACTCTACACCCGTGCCTTGATTTATAGCCCCATTAAGACTAGGAGAACAGGATGCTGTTAGGAAAGGGAATGAATTCTGAGCATCAGAACAAAACAGTAATGAAAGAAAAAAAATGACAAAAAACAAAAACAAAGACAATGTTCAGTACAATGATTTTGGGAAGGCCACTGGCCTTCTCTAAGATGCAGCCTCTCCATGGGACAGGGAAGAGGCTGGACTCAATGTTCTTCCATGGATTCTTCATTCCTGATAGTTTGAGCCCATGATCAAAGGAGACTGAAGCTTCCGTAATTTAGAAAGTGTTAAAAATGTTCAAATGACAGCACAGGAACTTCTGTGTTAGTGGGGACTCAGAGCCATCTGTTTTGAGCAGGAGAGAGAGAGAGAGGCGGAGATGAAGTGTTCTGAGCAAAGCTCGTGAGGCAGCCCGGGCTGGGGGGTGGCAGGGGTTCCAGCAAGTCCTCAGCTTGGCAATAGCAGCAGCAGAGAGGAGGTGCTTTCCCCCCACCCGTGGGTGGTGACCTGTGGGGAAGGCAATCAAAGAGTGGAGGCAAATGGCAGGTGGAAGCTAATGGAGGGTGTAGTCAATCAGGAAGGAAATGCCTTTTTGAGAGGTACCAGGAGAGGAATCTGGCTGCTTTCTGAGTCACTCAGAGCAACAGACACATGATGCAAACCAACACACATTTCCTGAGCACCTGCTAAATGCCATTTACTCATTCAATCAACAAACATTCTCTGGGCACCTCCTGTGTGCTGGATCGTGGAGATGAATCACACAGGGTATGGGCCCTCTGGGATCATGGTCTGTTGGTGTGTGTGGGATGGCTTCTTGTACAAACATAATCAGCATAATGGGTTTGGTGTGATGGAGGGATACACAGGTTGCTCAACAGCCCAGAGCAGGAAATGACCGATTGTTCAGGTGGGTCAGGGAAGGTTTCCTGGAGGAAGTTGTATCTATGCTGGTTTCCTGAAGGGCAGAAGGGACGAGTGTACGAGGTGGCAGCACAGGCAGTGCATGTCTAAAGGGTCAGGGGAGGGGGTTGCACGTGTGGCGCTCTCCGTGGTCCTGAATCATCATTGTGTTAGTGGGATAAGGGCTTTTCTGATGAGGGGAGGACAGGGACTATAGACAAGTGCTCCAATTCTCGCCACTCCCCCAGGCTCCAGGAAGTGTAATAGCTGTGAGCGAGTTCAGCAAGCCCCATGTTCAGAGTGGTGGAGGATAATTCGAGACATGGATCTTAGGATCTGAGGCCGGAGATTGCCATGGGCGATGAAGGGCTGTGAAGGCTCTTGGAGATCGTGTTAAGGAACTTAGACATTTTTAATCCTATAGGTGGTGAGGTGCCATGGACAGGTTTTGTGCAAGGTAGTGATGGGGTCCTAAGTGTGATTTGGAAAGTTACTGCAAACAACATAGAGAAAACACTGGAGGGGGACGTGGGAGTAGGTGATGTTGAGTTTTACAAGCATCCAAATGAGACAAAGACAGGTCCGAGCTAAGGCAGTGGACAAGGGGGAGATGGGGAGATGTTAAAGAGGAAAAAATCGGTGGGCCCAAGTTGTGGGAGTTGAGGGAGGAGTCCCAAATGGCTCCCAAGTTTCTTGCTTGGTGACTGTGTGGATGATGGTGCTATTTGTCAAGAGATAAATGATACCGGCGTGGGAGCAGGTTTGGGGGAAAGATGATGAGTTCAGTTTTGGATGTGCTGGCCTTACGGTGCCTGTGGGATGTATGGGGGAATGTGCAGGAGACTGCATATGGATCTAGTGCTTGGAGATGGGTCCCCATCCAGAGATGGAGGTTGGGGCATCATGAGCACATGGATGATCATTAAAAGTCCAGGCCTGGGAGGGAGGCTGCCAAGGAAGAGGCTGCAAAAGGGAGAAAAGAAGCAACTGAGGTCTGAGCTCTGGAGACACTCCCACGTAGGGGGATGGGCAGAGGGGAGGCGGACTGAGCTCCCAATTACCAGCCTTTGGGGAGCTGGTCCATTCTAGGCTAATGTTGTTCAGAGTGTGTTCTGCAGAGCTCTCATCTTACAAGATGTTCTGTGGTCAAGTACACCTGGGAACATGGCAACCTATATCTCCCTCTGGGAGACTCAGAGTGTACCCTCTTATAGTAAAGCCTATGAAAAGTTCCACAGCAAGGAACCTACTTCTCTGTGTTAACCCCATCACTTCCCAAATATACTGGCCCTTGGCATAATGGCCATTAATAGCCTGTGCCCTGTTTGTTTTGAAGTTATGGTCTAGACCTAATGAATGAATATCCAAAGGCCCTTTAGCCATCATTGAGTTCAGCCTCCCATTGTGCCGAGGAGGAAGCCAAATCCTGCAGAAGCCGAGAGGAGCATTGTGGGGCAGCAGAGGAAGGTCTGCATCAGGAGGTAGATGCACCTGGCTCCGAGCTCCATCATTTACTAGATATGTGACCTTGGGCCTCAGTTTCTTCATTGGGGAGACAGAGATAAGCACCCTACAGTCCTGTGGCTGATGGTCCTATGATGCTGCCAGAGTTCTCAGAAGGCCACTGTGATTTCCCCAGGGTCGCACAGCCAGAAAGGGCTTCCCATCACCCTGCCCTTGGTGGCCCTTTATCCCACACAAGCACCTACTCTAGAGATTGCCTTTGAGTTAAAACCCAGCAAAACCCAGTGGGAATGGATGGCTTGCTTGGTGGCAACTCAGAGGTCCCCCACATTTGAAAGGCTCAAAACTCTGCCCTCTGCCAGGCACAGTGACTCATGCCTGTAATCCTAGCACTTTGGGAGTCTGAGATGGGAGGATCACTTGAGCTCAGGAGTTAGAGACCAGCCTGAGCAAGAGGGAGACCTGTCTCTACTAAAAATAGAAAAAATTAGTTGGGCTACTAAAAACAGAAAAAAAAAATTAGCCAGGCATGGTGGCACACGCCTGTTGTCCCAGCTACTTGGGAGGCTCAGGCAGGAGGATCGCTTGAGCCCAGGAGTTGGAGGTTGCAGTGAGCTATGATGACGCCACTGCACCCCAGCTGGGGTGACAGAATGAGACTCTGTCTCAAAAAAAAAAAAAAAGAAAAAGTAAAGAAAAACAAAACCTAAAAGAACCCCCCAAACTCTGCCCTCTTCCCCTGCTCTGGGACCCACCCAGGGTAGAAAGGGAAGGCCATGGAAAGAGAAGGCTCCACTTTCTGGTCAAGAGCTAAAAGTGTCCTGCTGGGCTGTGGCTGAAAGGATGAGGAGTTTTGGGGTATGGGAAGGAGACTTTGGGGCTGGGCTTAGAGCCATGGCTGTGCCTCCTTCACCACTAGACACAGTTCCACACCTGGGCAGCCTTCCACAGGACGCTGTCCTGCTGGCACTGCACCGTCACCGGTTACGAGGATCACTGCTGGAGCCTGGTTGTAGCCCCATGGAGCTCCTAGCTCTGTCCTTGCCTGTTAATCACCTGTCATCCCAGGCCACCCAGGGGAGCTTCCCCCATCTGACTTTGCAGGCCTGGGCTCAGCAAGCTGGAAAGAGCATCAGGCAACTTTTAGAATGAAATCTGTTTTCTTAACCCTCCGTCACAGCCATTCATACGCAGCACGCTGAAGCATATTTTTAGTCACTTCGCAGAATTTAAAATACACCTCGAAGGCGCCAAGAAACACCAGCTTGGGGATTAACTCTGCTCACAAGAGACAGTGGGGGGGTGACTTGTGCTGCGTCACCCGTTGGCTATGCCATGACTCACTGTGGCCAACAGCTTCAGGAAAGGCACCTGCCCGTGGAGGTGGGGTCTGGAGCAGCCTGCAGCGGGCAGCGAGCTCCCAGCCCTGGGGGATGTCATCAGAGCCCCGAGGCAGCTCCAACCCTGCCACTGACTAGCTGCATGTTTGTAATGGGTCATTTCCATGCCCTGGGAGCTGCCACAGAAGCTGCCCAGCCACTCTCCACAGAAGACAGGACTTCCCACCCCCACCAAGGGGAGGTGACCACTCGTAGACTTCCACACTGTTTGAACCCCATCCTCCTATCTACCCCCAGATAAAGAAATTGAGACCCAGAAAGAACAGGCATCTTGTCCAGAATCATGCCACACGCCAGAGCACAGCTGGGCTGGAACCCAGACTCCCGTCTTCCACCGAGGGCCTTGTACACACCTGAAAGTCTGAAGCTTGGTGACATGGCCCCTCAGGAGAGGGGGCCCCTTCTTAATGTCCTGTTATTGGGTCCCAGTCAGAGCCCCGGCTCTCCACTCTGTGGGGCAGGCACAGGGTCTGGGAGGGCACACAAGAAAGGGTCCAGGAGTAGGTTGGGGACTGGATGTGGGCTTCCCTGGGGAGGTGGGCAACACAGTCTCCCATGCCTAGTGGAGGTCTGGGTCCTGGGCCAAGCCCTCCCTGAACCGTTTATATCCGAGCGTGAGAGTAGCTGCTGGAGGCACAGGCCCTCCAACAGGCACACCTGACTTTAACCGTCTGAGAGCCCTCTCTCCAGATTGTCGAAATACCGGAGGCGCAAGCCCTTCGTCCTCTCCCAGAGTCTCTGCCAGGAGCCCACTTCCTGGCAGCCCGTGGTAGGGACGAGGTGGAGGGTATTGAGTAGGTGCCGGGAGTCCTGCTTCCAGAACCCTACTCCCTGCCCGTAGCCCCGCGCAAACTCCCTCTGGCTCCTTGCAGGCTTCCGCGGCCGCGAGGCTCCAGCGTGCCTGCGCCCCAGTCGGGCGGGAGGGGCGCTGCGGCCCCGTCCCCCCGCTACCCCAAGGGGCAGCACGTGCGGGGCGGGGCTGTGGCCCGAGCCTGGAGCTGATTGGACGCGGGCCTGGTGGGCGGGGCCGAGCCGCAGCTGTCAGAGCCGCGGCGGCGACGGCGGCGCATCGGGCCGAACGGTGGCAGCGCCGCAGCCCGGGCCGGAGCGCAGGAGCCGACGGGGCCCGGCCGGGATGGTGCAGCGGCGGCTCCGCGGCGAACGCACGCACTGAGCGGGCCCAAGCTGGGCCCCGCGCCCCCCGCGCCCCCCGCCGCCCCGATCCCGGCCGGCATGATGTGCCTGGAATGCGCCTCGGCGGCGGCGGGCGGCGCGGAGGAGGAGGAGGCGGACGCGGAGCGGCGGCGCCGGCGCCGGGGGGCGCAGCGAGGGGCCGGCGGTAGCGGTTGCTGCGGGGCGCGGGGCGCAGGCGGCGCTGGAGTCTCGGCCGCCGACGATGAGGTGCAGACGCTGTCGGGCAGTGTGAGGCGGGCCCCGTCCGGACCCCCAAGCACCCCCGGCACCCCCGGCTGCGCAGCTGCTGCCAAGGGTCCAGGCGCGCAGCAGCCCAAACCGGCCAGCTTGGGCCGCGGGCGGGGGGCAGCCGCCGCCATCCTTAGCTTGGGCAACGTGCTCAACTACCTGGACAGGTACACCGTGGCAGGTGAG